CTCTCTCTCTCTCTCTCTCTCTCTCTCTCTCTCTCTACTGTTGGTCTAATTATCGAAATTCATTTTAAATGCGAGCCATTTATTCAATTTTCAGCTCTAATGCAATCGTCAATGCATTCACTATTGAAACTGTGTCTCAATTTAATGCCCGAATAAAATAGTCCATAATTTTTCACTAATTTCTCGCCAAAAGAAAAACCATAATTGGATTTTCATTATTGTTATTGTCTTTCAAACCGCACATATGTTTAGCAAAGTGTGAGAACATTACTTTCTAAACAACTATTAAATGTATATTAAATTTAAATAAATATATACAGTAGAGAATGAAGTGACAACTGATTACCATAATAATTGTCTTTCCTATCATTGCATTGCCCATAGAGAGTGACAGTGTCTTTGGTTTAAAACAAAAATAAAAGTTAATTTAATTTATGGTTAAATAATATTTTATGACCTGAAAAAACAAACACTCATTAGATTTCATTTCACAATTAATGTCATCAATGAATGAAATGTCAGTTTATTTATTGTCCATAATTTGTATTTAAATTATATTTAATTTTCAATTAACTCTTATTATCCGGTTTTGTGTTAGTTTTCTCTATGTATTGTTTATTCTGTTAATTATTATCAGCCAAACAAAAGTGTTGTTCACTTGTCTGCAATATTTACATAGATATAAGTGAATCATATTTTGCTTAATTAATTGTAATAGACATTAATTAATATGAAAAAATGTAAATTTATATTTTTGTTTCCATTTATTTTATAGATGACATCCGAGGGTCGAAGAAGTGAAGTAATACTATTGGATGGGAGACGAGTTGAGCTAATTATACAGGTATTCATACGGTTGTAATTAGAGACCAGTATTTCAGAAAATAACTCATTTTCTAATTAATTTTTAAAGTATTTTTACAGATAATTACGATATATTAAACGCGTTGTGCGAATGCTATTTGAATAACTACTGAACAGAGACAGTGGCTGTGACTTGTTATATGATATTAGTTAACAAATATTGTTTTTTAAATAAATTTTCTTATTATCGATTAATGTTATAACTTATAAACTTATTTAATCGATATAAATATCACATTTGTGTATAACCTATTATTCAAATAGCAATCGTAAACGCGTTTGACTTTTAAATATTAATTGATTTTTCTACTGATTTGTCTCAGATCTGGAAACCATTATTTATGATAATAAAACAATTAAATTTTGTATTATTGGATAAAAAACTAATCATTATTTTGTTTTATGTTTCCATCGATAGCCGAAACTATTTGCGGGCGATTTGTTTGATATCGTGTCCTCGCATTTCAATCTCAAAGAGAAGGAATACTTCGGATTAGCCTTTTTGGACGAGACGTAAGCATTCGGCTAATGTCTGACACAATAATTCATATGATGTTTAATCGTTTGCTTTGTTTTTATGCATTTATGTCGCCGTTTGGTTGTCTGTGGACACGATTTGGCCAATCATACGATCATCAGATGCCAGTATTCATGGCTTAATTTAGATAAGAGAGTCTTAGAGCACGAATACGCCAAAAAACACACTCACGAAAAGCTTATATTACACTTCTTGGTTAAGTAAGCGATAAATTTAAATACTATTATCTAAACACTAATCTTCAGCCCAACCCCTCCTTAACCCTCCGTTTCCTTATTAATCTGGTTATAAAACCCATAATGTTTTCCACATTTAACGCTATTTCCCGTAAACTTTATTTAATAATTTATTGTCTTTTGTTTTATTATTTTGATTTTAATCTGTTTTTTCTTTTGTGTCCATTTGATAGATATTTTGTGGAAAGTATTACACAACTGAACGATACGGCGAGTGTTGAGCTGTTTTATCTTCAGGCAAAATCACTGGTCGCTAATGTGAGTCCACATGTCTTTTCCCTTCCCATCACTCCTCTGTTGTGTCAATCATTCAATTGTGGGCTAATTTCTGGTCTAAAAACCCATTCAACACTTTATATACAATCACCAGAAGAGCTGCACATAATGTGTTTGAAATCCCTGTTCAGACTCTATGTGGATGTGAAGACTCTTTTAGTTTTTGGCAAAAATTATCTCAAAAACACATCGCATTTGAATGTCTGCCTGTTTTGGTTCACTGTCTTCAGTCTCTCGACTCTTTTTATCACAACATTTCAGACATACTATGGATAACAATAACAATAATATTATTACATATTTAGTGCATATTAAGTATGGGTTGAATAAACTATTGAATATCAATACATTCTGAGCCACACATTCTTGAATATCATTTAAATTTATTTGTATATCAAAACAAATTTGAAAAAGTAATTGATATTCACATGCGATTGAAATATATATTTATTGTGATTTATGTTTGAAATTATTATTTTTCTTTCGTTTTATTTCTTTGATTTGTTTGAAATATTTTCACGTTTTACTAGTTTTTTCTAAAGTCTCGAGTCTTAAAAAAATAGTAATCGTAATAAATCTCACAATAATTTGCTCTCAAATGAGTGTCTATTAATCAACATTTTTCGCATTCATACGATATTTAACCTAAATTTATGGTGACTTTCATTAGGAATTGAGTGACTGATTGTAAACAATTTTATACCTAAACAAACGTTTTGCTAACATTTGGGCAAAACTTTCACTAACAGTGCATTTGTCGTCAAAACTCCTAATTAGAAAAACATTTTCGTTTTGAGTTTCAATAATTAGATTTTAATGCTATTATGCATTAGGACTGCCGTCTGTTTATAATAGGGGGACTCGTATACGGGGTCTGGGGTACAGACCTCACGATAGGTATACCACATATTTCTACTCTACATCTGGTCCTTCACTTTTGCTGATGACGTCCAAACACGCGATACAATTATTTATTAATATTATTTAACATTTAGTCTATTTTTCTGTTTACTGCATTTTCCTCTAACAGTAATTGTAATAATGTTTGTAATAATTATTTTAATGATATTTTCTGCCATTTGAATGACTTATTTTTCTAATGAAAAAACAGATTTTTCTGTTTGTTTTATTGAATTTCATATTTAATAGTGTTTTGCTTTTTGACACATATTTACCAATTGATAGTCTTGTTTATATATTCAATACTATTTTGCTATAATTAAAATATGTATTTTTGTTTTTCGCATGAAAATCCAGTTTTTCAAATGAATATATTTTTTATTTTGTTGGTATAATTAATTTGAAAATTAAATATTATGTTTTTAGTGATTATTTTATAGCCATTACATAATAGTACATAACGTGTAATATTATGTATTGCCTGTGAATCTCATTATTATTAATGAATAACAGATGCTCTCAAGACGTTTAGATAAGAAGACTTGTGTTTGGCCTTAAACTCAGCCCAAAATGTCAGTATTTTTTGCTGAGACTATTAAATGATTACATAAGTATTCAAAGTCAGAGATAAACAGTTATTTTTGACTATCAAATCCCTTCGCCTCCATATCTCTAACACACAAACATTTGTCGTATTATATAATGATAAATAATAAAACAACCTTTTTGTTGGTATAACAGCTAATTGGAGTTTTCCTGCTCTGAACACTACCAGTCTATACATTCTCTATCCTATCCATCACCACATAATACCCGGACCACTCGTTTTGTATGTTTTATTCTTATATATCGCACCCAACACTTGATTCTCTCTCTCTCTCTCTCTCTCTCTCTCTCTCTCTCGTAATGTTTATCTAATCTATTCATTGAATAGAAAACAGTTATATATTTGTTATGCAAATAGAGTTCTATTAATATATATTTAAATGAACAGGAATTACAATCAAGTCTCTCTCTCTCTCTCTCTCTCCCTCCCTATAATCAAAGCATTGACTCGTTTTGTTATTTTTAAAATTTTTGTTTTATTTTCTAATCGGTTAAAAATAACACAACTAATCAAACAAAACACATTTTAAACAATATTCTTGAACTAACTTTTAATGTAGTGTAAAGTTTCGGGAAATTGTTGGTTAGTGTGAATATATTTATGAATAGATGTATAATTTTATACATTGTATGTATTGTCTGCTTATTATATAACAAAAGACTTAACATTTTTGGCGTATTATTAATCAAAAGGATATTATCACTCATCGATCAGAACAACCGTACGATTCATTTCAATACTGGTTTTGTCTTAAGATAATACTCTTATGCTCTCATCTATTGTAAGAGATTAACCATCGGTTCGTTTGAATGCAATTAATTTACAAATAACTTCACAGCTCTCTCTCTCTCTCTCTCTCTCTCTCTCGTAATGTTTATCTAATCTATTCATTGAATAGAAAACAGTTCTCTCTCTCTCTCTCTCTCTCTCTCTCTCTCTCTGCCCTTATGGCACAGGCAGGCAGTTATGGTCATCAACTCACTTATGAGAGATAATTCTTATAATAGAAGAGAGTATTATTTCATTCACTTCAATGCCAAATGAAATTATAATTATGTTTTAGTTTAATAAATATATTTCGATGAACTCAAGTCATGCCCAGAATTTTTGGGCTCAATATAAAAATACTTATCACTCCTAATAATCAATCAGGAATTCGTGTCCAAATCTATTGCAGAATACGTTAATTCATTTTTATCACTCATATACTCATCATTCTCTCTCTCTCTCTCCTACTTTTTAAGACATCAATTAATGATAGTTTAACTAAAGAAACAAAAATTTTGTTGTTTTGGGTTTGGATTAGATGTTATAATAATAGTATACATACAGAGTATTACAACATTGGGTTTGGGTTCACATAACAACAACTTTTTATGAATTCGTTCCCTTATTTCAGTTACAGATAATTGAGATTTTTTTCTGTAAATAAAAAAGGAAAAGTTTTTTCTAGCCTTTTATTGCAATTGGATTGCAAAAAAACACGGAGTGTTTGGCAGGAATGCAGTTCTCAATCGAGTGTAACAAATGCCAAATCCCCCCAAAACCCCCTTTTTCTCGCCAAATGTATTGTACAATATATTTACAATTGAAAGCAATTCGTGTGCAACTGATTCGGCAGTGAATCTGTTATTCATTACAAACTATTTATTTAGTATTAAAATTTCGATTGAATACCAATTCTATGCTAATTATCGCAGTTTAGGGGCGTTTATCGCATACACAATGTGTTTTTGTTTTGATACTTGGCTACGAAATCACGTTTACAATTATGATTGCAATTAACAATTAATATTGAGCTCAAAGTCAAACTTCGAGTTTGTTTTCCCCATTAGAAAAAGTCATTTAATTAAACAACAAAAACAAAAGTAAATTTAAACGAGTGATCATAAAAACATGAAAACAAAAAAGTGAGTTTCGAAACACAAAAGTTGTTCAAAAAATATGTGAAAAATATTTTCGTAATAAAAAAATTAGTCATGAATTTCTGCGATTCGTATCTGATTTTAGCGATGAAAACATATGATAAGTATTATATTGGATAAAAGCGGAGGAAATGTGCATTTTTGTGTTGTTTATCACCGACTTCTCAGAGAGAGAGAGAGAGAGAGAGAGAGAGAGAGAGAGCGATCGAGTGGGAAGTGCTCACCAGATAACTGGTAAGAGAGGTTTTTCAGGCACTGGTGTGTTATGTATTAGTTCTCAAGCATTCGTTATGCGAAGCACTGGCAGTAAAATGCATCTCAAGACATAACAGCAGCCGTAGTAGTGGTGGTGTTGTTGTGTCTCTCAAATCAATTGAATTTTTGCGAGTTCTGGTCCTCTCCTCTGCCTGTGCTCTAACTCTTAGCCACAGTGTGTCTCAGCGCTCACTCCATTCACTCGCAGCTCTAAATACCATTCAATACACAAATATCTTTCGTCAATACCTTTCCGTGCGGTCCGTCTGTCCTTTCAGTCTTGTGAGCACTTGAATACGTTTTTTACGCATATCTGGTGTGAGAAATACCTTGTCTTCAGTTTTGCAAATAGTTTTCAGTGTTGTTTGTGTCGTATAAAGTGGTGTCGAAAATACTTTTCCGTGCAAACGGTGTGATAGATATATTCAGTTCACTTATTTATAGCCGCCGTAAGTCTTGAAACGCTTTCATGTGATTTTGATTCCCCGTCTTCTTCTCCATAATTAATATATTTCTTATTTAATATAATTTTTCAGCACTTTTTGTAAAAATGTTTTATTCAATACATAGTATTATTGTTGTTAATGTGTTTTTGGCCCAGAAATTAATTACTCGTTCCTTCAGTGGCGCTATTTCTGTCCACAAGAAACTGGATTTTCAGACAACGATTTAGGATTTCCTATTGAATTAATCGTTTGGCAATTTAGCGAAAAAAAACTATTTTGATATTTAATTTATTGAATCATTTAATGCTCGGAAGGGTTTAAGGGTTTTGTTATACGCTTTGAGCGCAAATCAATTGGTGTTTTCAATACATTTGTGTGTTTTCGGCGTTCAATAAACTTCACTCCAAAGTATAATTTCAAATATCAATTTTCAAACCGAAAATTATGTGAGTCTTTGATTTAGTTGTCATTTGACGCGAACCTGTTTTTCTCACCGAGTATTTCGTATTTCATTAATAATTTGCATTGATTTGTATTTTCATTCATTTCGATTGCATTCCTTCAACCGTAAGATATAAACAGTAGTTTTTTGCACTAAAATAATCATCTCTCTCTCTCTCTCTCTCCAGCCATATGACTGACGGATCTCTTAAATAGATCGCCCTTAAGCTCATGGTATAAATATATTGTGTCAGTATTCCCTCCCTCTGTCTCTCTCACCCTCGATGGCTGTTTAGGACTTAAAAGTGACATTAAATTCAATAAATAAATGATATTTAATTTTCGAAACGAAGTTCTTTGCCATCTCTACACCTTCTTTGAGACCATTTATTAAATTTTATGACAAATTTTCAGTTCGCCAACCATTTCATCGGCAAAGAAACACTAAATGCTATTTTCTATTAAAATTCCGGCTAAAAATTGATTTTTGAGTTCAAACTAAACGCCAGAAACTTATCTAAAATAGTCGACGAAATGTGTTTTGGTTTGTGTTGTGAATACTATTCTTATCAGATATTTGTCGAAATAATAATAAATTTTTGAACTCAAGTTATTTTTCAAATAAATATTTCTCTCATTAAATATTTCTAAACTATAATTTATATTTTAAATTATTTTTTCTTTGTATGAATTATATCTGAGACTTGAAAACCTTGCATTCATTTACTCCTACGTCTCTCTCTCTCTCTCTCTCTCTCTCTCTCTCTCTCNTGTATATGGCTGTTAAGGCCAGGGGTTTTAAATACAGGGACGACACATTGCACTCGGCATCCCTGGCCATACTCTCTCTCTCTCTCTCTCTCTCTCTCTCAGAATTAATGTTATATTAAGAAATATTTTTCTCTTTAGGTTTTTTACTGAATGTAAAGTTATTTTTACTTTTATTCCTTTAATTATTTGTTTCGTAATGTTTTTGAGTCGAACCCCTATTTATAAGTTGTGTTCAGAAATCAAACCTTTATTTATCTTAATTATGGCACTAAAAGGGCTTTTTCTCTATCTATTTATGATATAAAGTTATTTAAACAAAATTTACAATCGTTTTGAATACACATTAAATTTAAGCGTAAATTTAATGCTTAATATTTAAAAATATCTGTCTTTTAATCACATAATCACTTGTTCTCTGAACACATCTTTTCCTTAAAAACTTTTTTGTTATTTTGTATTTTTCGTGAAAGTAATTAAACACACATTTGGTATCCAAACCCTCCGTTCCCTTATTGGATAACAAAGAGTAATGTTTAACAATAATTTATAATTTAAATTTCGGTTAGAAAAAAGTTTAATTTAATGGTTTGAAGTGAAATACATATTCAAATAAATGCTATTATGTGTGGATTTTTATTACTTTTCTCATCTTATGTTGCAATATATGTGGCGTTTTTCTGGTGGGAGTGTATGGGGTTTGTTGACCCAAAGCGCCCAATAAATAGCTCTTTTCTTATATGTATTATATTTTTAATGTTATTTTTTGTTGGTTTGAAATTGAGAACGTGTTTAACTTATATATTATATAATACACTGTCTTATTATTAGCCGTAATATTGTTTTAAGAAACTTCATGTGTTTTTGTTCTCTTATCTCACTCTTCATTCATTCAATCCATTCATTCAAACATTCATTCATTTAATGAAATATTTATTTCTCACTAAACCAGGAGGTAATCCAAGTCTATGCGGACACTATATTCCGATTATCAGCGCTGGTATTGCAGGCAACTTATGGCGATTATGTAAAGTAAGTGCTTAATCCGTGCCCCACAACACTCTTACAATCGTTTTTATCATTATATAATTATAGACTAATACTAGAGTAGAAAATATAATTTGTAATATAACTCACAACACAATCAACAATTTTCTTCAATGCATTACTTTTTGAATTCAAATGTATTTTTAGATTTGATTTAGCGATAAATCGTTTTTTCAACTGAATATAACAATGTCTCTCTCTCTCTCTCTCTCTCTCTCTCTCTCTCTCTCTCTCGCTATGGTCTCGTCTCTCCTCCTCTCGCTATGGTCTCGTCTCTCCTCTTCTGGCTTACCCTCGAGTTTAGTTGAGTTTAGTTTTCCATTTCAATTGTTTAGATAACTTTAATGACATCTCTCTCTCTCTCTCTCTCTCTCTCTTATTCTTACTCTCTTTCATATTATGTTATGTTTGAGTGTTATATAAGTTATACTCTATTTTTGAATGAAAAAGAAGCGAAAGAATTAGGATTTTTGTTGTGTTGTATGAGATAATGAAAAAGTAGTGTTTTTGTTACATCAGTCGTGTTGAGTACTTATCTTTCATTAATCAACTTTTTTCTCAAAGCAAAACTTTAATTTTATTTCATTTTCTACTTATCTCTACATTTTCTGCTATATTTTTCTGACTCTTATATATATTTTTATGTTTTAAAACTTCAGTGATTGCAAAGCGAGAGCCCATCTGAAGAAACAGCAGTTAATACCGACGTATATTCTCAAAGAGCTACCATCTCTTCAAGTCTGGTGAGTCTACTGTCACTGTCTATCAGTGCATCAGTTTATCAAAAGAGATTTTTTAGCCTTTTTTGTTGTTATTATTATTAAATCCTGATATCCTTTGATGTAATTTTGTTCATTTTTCCGTATCTTTAAAAATAAAACTTTTATATAATTTATTGAATGTCTAACTCTAACCGACACACAGTGTTGTGTGTAATCATTAAAAACACTGCAAAATTTTAATTCAATAACTCCTTGAATAACTAGTCTTATGTTTTATATAAAGAATTTCCTTTCAAACCCTTAAAACCAATTTTATATTATTTTCTTTTGCATTATTATTATTATTACAAGATTTTGTTTTATGCGAAATCTCATGAAATATCCGCATTGTATGCGAGAGAAGAGAAATGTCATTAAAGTTATCTAATTTTGGAAATGCATTTTTCTCTACAATTCATTCATTCATTCATTGAATATATTTTTTGTTGCATTTCATGTGTTGGCCTTAAAGTGAGGAAAAAGTGATTGAAGAATACAAAGAACTCGTGGGTCAAAGTCGTGGCGATGCCATTGTTAAGTATATGTCCGTCATTGAAAAGCAGCCGACATATGGCGTACACTTCTATGAAATCAAAGTAAGCGATCGATTCACACCATCAGTGATTGAATACCAGATCCTTATCATATGAATGTCTATTTTGATCATTTTGTTTTGTTTTATAAAACTTATTGCTTATTAATAACTATAATTGCGTAACGAATCGACTGAAACGCTGTATTTCTAATACTTTTCTCTCTCTCCTACCCTTCCCTATGAATACCTGTGCCCTATCGCTGGCACATAACAGGATAAAACAGGTATTCCGTATTGGCTCGGACTGAGCTATAAAGGCATCAATCAATTTGATCACAACGATAGACGTATACCGCGTCGAAACTTCCAGTGGAAACAACTCGAGAACCTGTACTTCAGAGAGAAAAAGTTCTCCATCGAAGTCAGAGATCCAAAACGGTATGTCTTTTCGCTTACCATTACCTTCACTGTTATGTTATTTATCGTCGCATCAAAACATGTATACATACTGTGCGGTGAAATAAGTTTTATTCACTGTTTTGACAATCGCTGGCTTTGTATTTGCCTCCGATTGTCATTCGGGTCTTTGATTAGCAATTTATTTGTCTATAAGTGGCAAACATATAGACTCAACAAAAACATATGCATTCCTCACCAAACGATTAGATATGATATCATATCGTGTTTTTATTAGTCATCTTAAATATAAGTTTTCCGTTTATGACTGCAATCTTAGAGACGACTACTAGAGCTCTGTAGTAATCATAAGTGTTAGCGTCTTATACATAGCTGTTGTCGGAGCGACACATTTGTCACAATTAGTTTGCGATCCATAGCCAGCGAATGCTGTACTCCTCTCTCGACCCATAATTAAAGAGCCATATTTTGGTTCCCCTTCTTCTCGATCGCCTGTTTTTAATGTGAATTTTCTTCGGATTTCATTACTTGGAAGTCAAGTGAAACTCGAATCAAAAGAGATTTGTTTACGAAAACCAAATGAAACCAAATATTTTTCGTGCCAGCAGTTAGTCTTCGGTGACTCGTGAATGACTTGTGTGTTCACTCCTCACATGTATGTTAAACCCCGAGTGCTTTTTGGAGGTTTGACTTTGTAAGTGAAACCCCAGCCATCCCTAAGTCACCACCAAATTCTTGTATTACATTATTTGAATTGAAAGACCATATGAATAGCACTTCTGCGAGAGAAGGCCTTCACTTATCCAAAGCGACTCTATTTCTAGAGTTATTATTATTATCACTGGTTTTGTACTTCAATCACAAAGTTTTTGTATTGCATTTTTGCACAAAAAAAGTTTTGTATTCACTTAAACAGCACTTTTCTGTTCTCCGGGTTTGTTCACTGCAAACCATCACGAGTTAAATCACTTTACTATTATTTATGCATTTAGTGTTGCATTGAATGCTCACAATTCTTGATCACCCATTTATGTTATGTGCCATTCCTTCATCACGAATGCCGTTCCCCTCTCTCTGGCTATAGTGTTGTCCATACGTTAAGTTCAATCAATTTGTATGAAAACGCAATCGAAGAGCCGATCGACACGTTTGACGATCTCTCGACAGCAATCACTGATCCAACCACACAGTAAGTGCACCAAATCGGCGGACCTCTCAGTCCCCTCCCCTGTCCTTCACGTCCTTTTGCATGTCTCTCACATACCATCGGTAGCGCATGTTTGCATGTCTTGGTGTCTCCAAGAACTCATTCGTCTGTGTATTTTAATGATATAACATCTGAGGCACAGCTCAACCGTAAATTTCTCTTAACAAAAGTAATCACTCAATACAAGAATTCACTTTCGTTTTTATAGTTTAAGCGTTTTTTACTAACTCTCGAGTTAACAAATAATGTGTCTGTGTTTCGTGTTTGTGTATAATGTATATCATATTAACTGCTATCTAATTGTCTGATTGTCACCACAACTCTTCAGAGTATCTGTAAGTCGGCGTACATTTGGTCCGTGCAATGTAACAGTGTATGTATGGTTTGCGGCCACCGATGTGCTCACAAAATGCATTTGGTCTATGGCTATAGCGCAGCACCAATTCTACATCGATAGACGAAACTTAAACAAAGTATAACAATATATTTATTTGTCTTATTTTTCCTCTTGTTATTTGCCTCCTCTTCTCGCCTATCGTTACTATATTTAGCTCACGATTTGTTTGTTTGAATCAATCGTTTAACGCTATAATTATTCTCATTATATTCTCATTACTTTCTTCAGAACTGTTTGACATCTCCGCGAACTGTAGAGCAGATCGCGACTGAACTCAACGCGAGAACCATCTCATCGGCCGAGTCTTCTTCGCGAACCAATAATTTCTCAACACATGAGCGAAGTCTCAGTTCTCATAGTTTGCCAGCACTTGGTATCGACCAAACGCTCTCACAATTAGAAACTAATAATACTGCGAAAGAGAAAGACATGTTTGAGACGTTGAAAGTGAGGAAAGATGCGCTCGAAGAGGCCATGAATAAGAAGTTACAAGAGCTTAAGGCACTCTGTCTTAAGGAAGGGGTGAGATATTGGAGATATTTATTGTTTTATAGCTTTGTTTCTCTCATTAACTGATTCACACGTGAATTGTTGTTTGATGTGATCCTCTATTTATATAATGATTTGTCGTTCACAGGAATTAACGGGAGAACTGCCGCCCGAAACACCTCTCAATGCCAACGAACCGATGCCTCAAATCAGGCGTAGAGTCGGCACTGCTTTCACATTGAATGATAAGCTGCTTCTGAAGCCCAGGACTCAGGAAGAAGCGGTTCTATCGAAGCTGGAGCTCGAGTATGAGATCCAGACTAAGATAGTGAGCGCCGCCTCCAAACTGGCCAAAGATGTGAACGCAAAGAAAAACGTACGCAAACAGAGGAAACAGATGTATCAGCAATCGTTGGCCAAAATGAAGGACTTGGAGGGCCGGCTAATCATTCTTCGCCGGCAAATAGCGGCCGTAAAACTGGCCAAATCTCGACGCAATCAATCGACCGAAGATCTAAGCGAAGACAATATCAGTCATTCGACAGACGAGTCACAGGAAAAGTGCGAAAACAGTTTGAATAAGTTTTTTGTGACCGAAAGAAATCACAAACAATTACTGATGAAGAGAAGTGCCAGCCTTTACTCGTCCGTCCCGTCGACGCCAAACAAATTCAGCGAAAAGCACGGCTCGCGGGTCAGACCGCTGTCACCATCGGTCACATCACTGGTCAATCGACCGGCGGATGTGATGCCGAGACCGCGTTCAGCGGCCGCCAAATCGGAGCCCACTTTTGATTACGACACCGACGAAGAGTCCAATGAAATGCTTAAAAATCTGAACACAGACTTTGACAATACCAGCTCTGTTGGCAGCAGTAGTGGCGGAACCAACGCTAGTGTCATATATATCGGCGAACAGAAGTCCAAACATTTACTGTCGCCTTATGTGAACAAATACGAGACTTCTGTGCGGTTGAGTGAGAGCTCCAATCTATACAGTGTTTCCAATAGAAGGACCTCTATTGCCATCAAGAGTCAGGACGACACACAACTCAAACCACCCGTCAGTCAATTTAAAGAACCCCTTCCTGTGAACAAACCTCATAGACATTTGCAAAACGACAATACAATGAGTCAATTGAATCGAAGTAATAGTTTGGATAACAGTCATCGACGGCGGACATCGTCTCAGGGCTCGGCCGAAGGCTACCCCAACCCAAACAGTCCATCCTATGATCACCACAAACACTATCACAATCACTACCCCTTCTACAGAGCGACGCGAACCGAAACACCCGAAAATGTGCTTCCGATGAGTCCCTCACCCCTTCTCACCGGTGGTGCCTCTCATATGGCACAGAGACCACTGCCAACACTTCCCACTAACGAGTGTCTGTCACCCAAATATCTGCCACCTATTGGCTCATCGCATGTCAACACATCCGAAAATCGTATGTTTTGTGAGACCAACGCATCCAATAGTCCCCAAACTGTCAGCAATGATGTGACCGACCGTTCAGTGATGTCTTACACGAGAAATCATAAGACTTATCAAAACTCTTTGTTTAATTTCGAGGAACCAGTTGTGATGAGGAATGAAAACTCGGTACCAATGAGTCCGCGTTCAGTCACTCCATCCAAGTTCGGCACAAACCATACGTCGAGTAATAAGTTTCAAGTGAACAACAATGGGTCGCAACCTATGCCTCCGCCCACACCTAAAACTCTTAAGACTTGGACCGAGACTTCACTCGACTTTGTGTTACCGCCGAAGACAGAGAACAGAGTGACGAACGCGCAGACAATGCAACCAAACAGCACTTCCAAAGCCATTAACGGACGAAATACTAATTCATTAAATTACGAAAATTCTGCCAAAGAATTATACGTTAACGTCAATAATATGGCGTCCATCGCATCCACACCACAGCAGACACCGAAAGCGTTATCATCGGCCACACCATCGCCGCCACAATCGTTGTCAACGCCAACCCCACCGCTGGCATCGCCGGCACCCATACCTTCACACATGACGTCCGCAATGAATGCGAACCGAAACTCAATCGCATCCATCACTAAATCCATCGGTGGTGACAGTGTTTGTGGTAAACCGACATCCATTCCAATGTCGCCGACCATACCGTCGGGCAATGGGGTTGAGGTGACTGTCGTTAGTGTCGGACACTTCCAACCCTATTGGGAGGAAGAGAAACCTTTCGAGTTATCAGACTTTTACAAATACAGTCAAAAACACCGCAATTCACAGCAATCGACACCAACGCCGACGTCTTCTCAAAACACGTCTCCCGCGCGTCACAGCCAACCACAGGCGCGCTCTTCACAGTCGGTCACCACTAGTGGTAATGGACTGCAAGCGAGCGGTGAACCCAATGGCCACCATTCCTGCCAATCGCCGAATTTGAACGATTCACTGAAGGGACAGATGATTGTCTCGGACTCGTTCACCAACGAGTTGATGGCCTGGTATGACGAGCGGGACTCTGTCCACGACGACCAGCACCACAACAATAACAACAACAACAACAACAATAGCCGCAAACACAGCGCCAAACAAAACGCAACACTTGTATAGGACTTGTTATACGACCCGTGCATTTGGTTTCATCCTATTTCTCGTAGTTTTATCCCTCATATCAAAAGTGCCATAAATTTTTGATAACTATTTATTAAAGTTTAGTTATTTTCTACCTTTTTCATATTCACTATACTATACACTATACAACTCCTAATCGGTCTTATAGTTACTGTAAATAATACGGATCACTACAAGTCGGTCAAAATGTGTGTTAATTTATATCGTTATTTACACTTTATCTCTGATGTGTGAGTGATATTACGTGAGCTCTTAATATACAGTACTGTTAATAAAAAAGTTTTACTTTTGTTTTAATAGCATATCAAACAAAACATTCAGCACTTAATTAGGATTACTTTATATAATTGTCATTCATTTAGATCTGATATAATTTATATGTTAAGCAAATAGTATTATACTATCTGTTTGTTTGTTACCGACATTTGGTGTGAATGTCTTGTAATTTAGCGATTGTTTCACATTTGATACATAATTCACATATCTTTTTGCCATACATTCAAAGATAACACATTTTGAGCGACTTTTTTGATAGTTTTTATTTGTAAAAAACAATTTGTTTAGTCATTGTTTAGAAGTGACATAAAAATGAGTTTATTTTTTAATATAGATTTTTATTTCTAAAAAAATTCTATATATAAATAGTTAGTCTTTTTAAATGAAAAGATTTTTATTATAACCAAAAAGTTATACAATTATTGTAATAGTTATAGTTATAAATGTTTTTGTAATGAATTTCTAAACTAAATATACGAATAAAATTGTTTCATAAAATAAAAAGACCTTAAATTTGTTGTCATTTAATGCTAACCTTATTGTGTTGGCCACGGGTTTGGTAGACATCGTGGGCGACATATGGGTGACAGTGTGAACATACGGCCCGACTCTTACGATTGATAAACGCTTTCAATTGCATAATAAGGACATAATATTTTTCAAATGAAATGATTTTTATTTATTATTATAACCAAAAAAGTTATAAATTGTTCTTATATTAGATAAAGTTATCAATGTTTTGTTGCAATGAATTTTAAACAAAATATACAAATAAAATGAATGATAAATAAAATAATATAAATTTCATTAAAAACGGAAAGATTCAAAAAATGAGAGTTAATTCTTGTACGCATTTAATGCTAATTTCTCATTAAGTTTGACAGTCTTGAGGGGAATCTCATAGCCGTTCCACTCGACAAAGTCGGACATTACAATATTGGGCCCTTTAGTGCCGGCGCTCTTGTCTTCCAACCATTTGGTCAAACATTGATTGCAAGCGTCGGCCAAATCCCAGCGCAACGACGAGTAGAAGTGTAGTCCGACGTATCGATTACTGGGCGTCAGTATTCCCTGCGTTACGTACATACTATTGGGCGGTCGGCCGGAGATATTCGTGTCCAGAAAACTGGTCAACTTTTCTCGACTCATTGTGTTGGCCCACGGGTTCGGTAGGCATCGGGACGGCCATAGGACGGGCGCCTCCATACGGCCCGTCTCATTGCGATAGTACACAAACACTTGCTGTCGTTTGTCCCATAAGTACCGCAACGTTATCCTATCCATTAGCAGTTGCGAACTGTACGGCACAAGTTTGCGGCCGAATATCTCCATAATCTTTGTGGTCAACTGTTTGTGATCGTCGTCTGAGAGGCGGTAAAAGTGTTGGAAATCTATAAAAACGATTTCCCTTTGGTTTTGCTGTAGGAATGCATTAATTTGGTGAAGCATATCAACCACTTGCGGGCCGTACAGCCCGTGACAGAAGTACAGGTTATTGTCGTCCACTTTGGAAGCGGTTCTGATGTCTATATAGCGAATACCGGCCGCCAATTGGCCCGTTATGTCCAGCGATTGGGTTTTGGTCCACCGATGGATTGTCGGCAGAGAAAAGCATTTGAAAAGTCGGACAAAAATATTGCGCTGAAGATCGGGTCGATCGGGACTGACGCCCAAATCGACGGACAGGCCATACGAGCCCGAGTCGTGGGATCCTATTTGTGGTGATCAACAAAGACAGTCAATACATTTGGGATACAATTGCGATGATAATGGATGGTATGATTACAGACCAGGAATGGTTAGTTTCCAGATGGGAGTGTCGTATAATGTGGGCGATATGTTAGTCATCCAAGTGCTCAGCTCTCCGGGCGGCGCATCCGAGTGGAGGAGAGGGCCGTCCACTTCATCGGCGACTGCGGGTGCGTTCACTCCGTTCTTCTTCGGCGACTTTTCCCCACTTTTGGTCATCATTTGGTTTCGCAGATAATAATTGAATGCCTTTTATATCTCTTTGTTTATCACAAAAATTGTTTCACAAATTAAAAACACAACAAAAATAAACGTAAAAATAATTGACAATAAATTTTGCGCTCAATTGACGGCAAAATCTCTTGCTTTGGTCTCAAAGTATATAAACAATAAAATATATAATAAATTAATAGTATTTATAAAAAACAATAATAAAGATATGAATGAAAAGAGTTTTTTTTTGGTTATGTATTAAAGACTAGTTATAATTGTAAACACATTTGGAGTGCAATTCAATCGACGCGAAGACGTGTTGTGCAGTGATTGCAGTGATTGTGGACTTCAATCAATCCATTCATTCAATACAATGAGACAATCGATGCCTTTATATTCGCACCGAATATCAGTTGTGAGACAACCAATCAATTGCTCCCAAACTCGGCGTTCAATCACACCATCAGTACATTCACTGCAATTGATTACGAATGCAATCAACACTTGTTTCACATTCGCCACACAATTAACGCCCATTCGAGTCGCACACTTCGCGCACACCTCTACTCACGACATATGGCAGCGATAGGTGTGCTTACGGGCTGTTGTACTGTCAAATACGGTTGAAAAAATTCCCGGAATATAATAAATATTCCCAATTGGGAATACCCAACCGGAACGTTCCCACCCAAAAAGCTCACTCACCAGATGGCGCCAGTAGTAAAGTGTGTCGACCCCCACATTTTACCCCCATTTTGCCCCCAATTGGGGGTAATTGGGAATGTTCCCAAAGGGAATAAATATATATTCCCAATTTTCCCAGGGAATATTCCTAGGAACATTCCTTTGGGAACAATTCCCAGTAGGAATTTTCAACCCTATTACCGAAGGCCTAATAATACACTTTATTATTACAGTATAGGTATAGAGAGGAGTGTCTTATGACTAGAATGAGAGCCAATGAACACAAGTTGTCTGAATGTCTGGCAAACACTTCGCACAACACATCTCTCTCTCCCCTCTCTCTCTCGCTGTCTCTCCCATTGACTCTCTCTATGTCTTACAGATGTGTTTGTTTTGTGCCAAACACTACAGAATATAACACTTTATAACACTTTTTGTTATTCATTGAATACTGAATCAAACATAACATAACTCTTCGCTAATAATATTATTGACGATTGTATTGACCAAAAAATACTAATATTTCTCATTTCGCAAACAATTATATCGTTTTTCGGCCAAACATTTGACTCGTATTTATAATTACAACGAAAACAGTGGTTGTGTTTTGAGAGCCATATTAAACGCCTCAAGAATTGTGAATGAATCACATTTGGAGATCCAATCCTCTCGTTAACCATGTCTTCAGATAACAATAATAATAATAATAATGTAAACCAATTGCGGCTCCAATTGAGTCCATTCCGGTTGGCATCGGAGGTGAGCCCCGAGTTGGCCGACATTATTGAGATCGATAGGACGCTATACACCCATTGGGCGATATATGTGGGCGACGGACAAGTGGTGGATGTGGTCGGAGATCTCGACAACGAACTGCCCGACGCCGAAGAGGCCATTGTTCGCCAGTTGCCGCTCACGGATGTGGTCGCAGACAACTATTGTCGGGTCAACAACAAGGAGGTGCCCGCGAAGGAGCGCTACCTCCAGGCCCGCGATGCCAACCAAGTGGTCAAAGAAGCCGTCGCTATGGTATTGATTATGCAATGGATTTTTTTGTTTGATTTGTTTCTCTGAGTTTACACTTTTTGTCGTTTTGATAACTCGTTTTGGTTTTGTTTATTAAGTTTTTTAGTATAAAAATATTATTATTATTATAAATGTTACATTTAAAATGTATATCTCTTTTCCTATTCTCATTCAATTCAAGTATTTGTTAATTGATTTCTTCTCTTTTTATTTGATATATAAAACACATATTAATAGTGTGTTTCAAATATCATATCTAATCAGTCGAGTCTTTGAGTTATAAATACTGTGTTTTACGATAACAGTTAAATGAGTCGTCCGTCTGTAGTGTTTCACTCAATTAATTGATTACATGTTTTATATAATGTATTCTTATGTATCCAATGATAGGTGGGCTCTACTGTCGACTATAATTTATTGACCCGTAATGTCGAGTGCTATTTGACTGAATGGAAGTACGGCCAGCCCTGGAGTGATCAGGTATTCAACGCCACAATAACACTATTCACTATATTTACTGCTAATCTAATCGACAAAACAGTTTTTCTGTGATTTTAATTTTTGTCGACACAACTCTTTTATTTTATTTATTTGCTATCATTTATAGCACTTATTCTTGTGTTTTAGCCCCGCTTTGCGTTTTGATATCTTTTGTTAATTATAGCGACAAAAACACTTCGCAAACACTTCCACTTCTAAATCTGTTTTCAATTTTTTCTCTCTTTTATTAGTTGTTATCAAAAAACAAAATTAGTTTTAATTATAATTGCATTTTATTTGTCACATATGAAGGCAAACGTAGCGCTCTCTGCGATACAGGCGCTGAGGAGAGAGCACAAGGACTCGACGTCCGACGGCCACAGCTTTATGGTCAACACATTGAATGAGGTGTTGAACAGCCCGGGCGCCAACGCCAGCCCCTCGTCGCCCGGCCTCATACGAGCCAACTCTATCAGTCAGTCATTCACGTCGGCCGCCTGTCAGACGGAGACCACTCATGTAATCTAATTGTCAAACAAAACTACATTTAAATTTTTGTTTTGATTCTTTGCAATCAAATTCTGCTTTTTAGACATTCAATGGCATAAAGAGTTTGAATTTTATGGAAACTCTTGGAAATTGTCGTCTAAAATAACTGTTACCTCATTATAATGAATGCCATTTCATTATTTAGTATTCCTATTCATTTCTCTCTACTCCAGTAATCTTGAAAAATACAAATGTAATGTATAGTGAAAATAGCGTTTCAATACTATTATATTTAGTCGACGACTATTTTTCACACTCTCTATCACTCACTCTCTTTCTCTCTCACATACATAACAATTCTCGTCAACAATATTGAGCTTATATTTTAAGTGAAGGTTTAGTACTGTTTGTGAATTACATATACTCTTATTATTATTATTACAAACAATTAATTATATATTCCCCTATATTCTGTTGCCATGATTTGAGCTTTTTTTCTGTACCCAATTTTTTGGTACATTTTAAAAATAATTCTTGAAATTATTTTATCATTTATTAATTTAAAAGTCTTTTTTAATATAAAACTTAAGGCAAATGTTGTGCACAACTTCTACTCATTATTAATATTAGTCAATTCATTACGAGTTTTATATGAAATATGTGCACATTTATGTCAATTACTATTATTGCATATTACATATGATAAATTTAGTTGCTATGAACTGCATCTTTCCCTCCCTTCCCCTCTCACTCTCGTCTCCCTTTCCCTCCCCTATAATCATATGTATTGTGTGTGTATTTTAAGCACACATTTTTTGATTGATTTGCGAATTAAAAGAGTTAACGATTAAACATTTTTAGGTGTTTTTTATTTTGTTTCACTCGAAGCATATTTTTCTAATTATCAAAACTCATGTATTTATAGTTTACTAGATTTGTAGTATGTTTTTGACGATTGCATAATTGTTTTATTGAAATTAACTTATTATTTGTATTTAATTAACTAAAAACAAAAATAATATTTTTAATTGTAATTAAACTTTTATTAAGAAATGCTATCAATTCTGTTAGCCTTTTATGAATTACACATGAATTTTGGGAACTCTTTATAAACGAAAGACAATAACAAGACATTTATTTAAAATGTTTTATATTTATTGAAATTAATGCCTAATTTATCGACAAATTTGTTGGAAATTATTGAATGTTATATAATATAATAGCATATATGAAAAATGGTAGTGAAGACAACTCTTATGACTATAAATTTATTGCTCAAAGAGTTGTGACCTTCAAATTGAGTGAAATATTTTTGAAACTAATGGTACTCTGAAAGAAGAAATTGTATTTTTATCCGTACTCTCTATTTGCGAGACTATTATAATTCTGTACTATATTTTTGGTTCAAAACAAATGTAATATATATTTTGGTTTTTGGTTCAAGTCATTGAAGATTTTGCCAAATATTTTGCAAATAAATTTTGGAATTTTTTTGTCAATTTTAAGTCAAATTTTGTTTTGTGGAATTTTTGTGTCAATTATGCTATTAATTATGAAATATATTGGAAATGATTTTGAAATATACTGTATATCTATGTAATGAGCTCTAGATTACGATTCATATGATTTTTATTGTTTTCTATTCGAGACAAATAACTGTTTTCAATGCCAAAAGTCATTTACACTTCAAAATATTACAGTGTTTTATATAATTTATAACAAAAAATACAATTCATACCATTTATTTGCTCAAAATTAACAAATCATTTAATAGTTTTCGCAATAATTAAGTGATTACTTTTGATTACGATTTTATTTCTAATAACATGTTATCATTATTACACAGACAACAGAAAAATGTCAATTAATTAATACAAAAAAAGTTATTTTATTAATAATTTGTAATTATTATTACTCGTTGACTGTATGAACATTTATGGCTTACAATTACATATACATCCTTAGAGTTAGAATATTTTAATGATTACAAAATAATATTAAGTTTATGTTTATATCATTATAAAAGAGATGTATTCTATAGATATGTTCCAATCATTTGTCGATAGATTTATAAATTATAAAATTAATAAAATGCTCTTTTTTATTGATTTGATTTGCAAATGAATTGAATATTCTTTGTTTGTATGGATTTCTATATTCAAAAAATTAATTCAATGAATCCGTTGAATACATTAAAAGTCAATTAACTGGAAATAAATTTAGAAACACTGCTTATAAAGTATATGAACTCAAAAAAGTGTTGTTTTGGCAAAGAGTTTGCTTTTATGAGATGTTTGTTTCCACGCGTTTGAACATCATATCCATTACGTTATCATTTAAATCGACAAAACTATACAAACAATAAAAATACTGTTTATTTGAGCCAAAAGTCTTTATTCAGTTTAATTATTATTCGTGTTTTTAATCTGAAATCATATTCAAAGGACAACAAACTTTTGTCTTATAATAATTAACACATTATTCGCTTTAGATTTTGTAATATCTGATATGAAAATATTTAATACATTAAGAATAATATCAAGAAATTGTGTATAAAATAAATTATTTTAAAAGCGAGTTTCCCTCAAATCTAGAATTAGAGCAATTAATTAATTATTATGGATCACATATTTTTGATGTTTTCTATATTTAGTCTTATTTGCAATAAATTTATTCCAAAGGTATTAAATGTCAGCAACGGTTAAGTCAATTATCTCTAGTGATAGCCATTCAATATAATTGAATTCAAATCCTATATTCTGTATATAACATGCAATACTTTATAGAGAATTAATGGCAATTCTTGTTATCAAAGTTACATTAAAGATATCCAATTCACTGATTTGTAAGTTATTTGACAATTTCCAGTCATTCAATACAATAGAGTTCTGCCCTTAAATCTAATGTCAGATATTTTTGGTAATTTCGAGTATAAATTGGCGAATAATTTTGACACTAGATTTATATCGAAAATCAGTCATTTTTAAGTAGTTTTATTCAAATTGTCATTAAATATAAAATTTATTGATAATATTCAAAGTAAAATAATTATGATTGAAATACAAT